CAAATACACAAAGGGGTGTAATGTTATGTTTTATGTTAGGCTCAGAAATATTTTCGTTCACTCGGTCCATGCATTGAGCTCTTTATTTAATTCCATGACTTTTCCATGTTTTCTTTTTGGGAAAAACACCAATAATTATACAAACACATCGAGAACAACAATCAGGAAAGGAAACCCGGATTTCACGTCAATTTATTTTGCAATCAGACAATCATACCGTACTTGTGGCAGAACGTAACGTCACAATATTTTTTTAAATAAAATACTCCTTCTCAATAAAATCTAGGTCAAAGGGTCAGATTGCGTGCATATAATTATAGATAGTTAAACCTAAATATATTTGATTTCTTACGGCTATTCAACGTTTGAGGAAATCAGAATAGAACTTGAATAGGTACGTGTATACAATAGTGGCGACATGGCTATTGAGACTATTCGACTATGATTGGTATCGGTATGATACCACTGAATCTTAACGTCTATAGTCGTAGCTGGTCAGATACCGCAACAGCTATCCCATATATAGACATCATCATATCTTTAACCACCCTCCTAGTTCCATATAATATATTGGAATGTTTATACTGTGGAAGTGGTCGAAAGTCGCGGCATCGATCGCACAATTAAAAATTATGTTCCGTTTTTCAGGATACTGAGCTATCAGGTGGCAGAGATGTTCTTTCGCACTCCGTACTCGTGTAAACGTTAACATGTAACTGTTTGGTTCTGTAGGAATGTCATCGTTATCAATATACCACTATTTGAGACTTGTTTTTGCTTCCATGTAGTGTTCCATTCAATGTCATCACGCCTCTGCCTACGCTGATATCTAACCACTGTACTTGCAACAGTGAATGCGACGCGAAGTGAGGAATTGGAGAAAGATTTATTCGAGAGGTTGAGAGACAAGTCACGAGGCTCTGTCATGAATTTGTTTTTGCGTGTCTGTTGACCGACTTAATTAGCTGATTACGAGTGAATTGCTGTGTTATGTCTGTCATCGTTTAGGCCTATTTGAAGTTTTGGACGGAACTTGGCTCAGTGATTTGGAACTAATAACCGTCGCTATTCTGACTACTATTTCTGACAGTTAGTATTCATAATTATTAATGTAGTGAACGATTAATCAAAAGATATGACGTATTCAGTACTTAGTGTGATTGGCTTTATGATTGAAGGTTATGCCTTAGAGTCTTTTTACTGCATTGTAATTGGTCAAGGTTTTGAAATTGAATAAAGAGAGTTTGAGTTGGTCTTGGCGAATACTCCACAAAAGACGCAGTCTAAGTCCAGCCTAAGAGAGTCGTGGTCCAGTCCTGGAGAATAAGTTTTTCTATATTATTAAAAGGTGAACATTAATATAAAAAAGTGTCGGCCGATTTTTTTTCATTCATTTCGCCATAGTACAGCGCCCTCTGTTGACAATTTGATTAAACCTGCAAAAAATGGGTGCTGTAAAATATTTAGGAAAAAAACAAAAAAAAATCGCCTCATCGTCATATTTATAAAAACTGAACTACCACATAAATACTGTGAAACTTCCATATAAGGGATCAAAATAATGTAATGTAGCGATTATGGGTCCTTTCAGCTGATACCAACCACGCCTTGGGAAAATATGATAAAATGTTTCTCCATATCCTTCATACTAGCCCCCCCGTTATCTCATGGTCCTGCCCTTACATCAACAGCTGCATTGATCTGTTCGACCAGGTATGTCGATGTCAGGGCGGTAGATCAAAAGAAAGCTACTTGACGAGTTAAATCATCATGGTTACGTCATAAAAACCATAAATCAAGAACTCCCATTTCCCAATTCAAGACAGTAGTGGTACAAATGTTGGTAGAAAAACCCGAGTACATGTGCATTGGGGGGGGGGGCTCCCCTGGAAAATTGTCAGGGATATACCCTTTTTCTCCGTCCAGAACGCTCCCGCTTTCCAAACCACAACAATCTGAAAATGAATATGTTTACAAACATTTCTGACAAATATATGTCTCTTCATGAGTACTTTTTGACACTAGTCATGTAAGGTATTGAACCAGTTTATATTAATAATAATAATAATATATCAATATATACAGCTATCTATATATCTACATACAGCTTTTCAATGGAAATAACCAGGGATGTACTATCTCGGCTTGTTGGGTATTTAGATGGTTACATCAGCAAATGTTTTTGTCTGAAATTAGATTCATAGAATTCTGTCATTTTGAATTCTGAAGGGGTAAATGTGAATAGAAGTGGTCTCACGGTGAATAGGTAAAAAAAATCCACACGTCACAATGAATACGCTGAAAACACAGTGCTGATCACAACGAGAAGTCGTGTAGTACTCGCATATTGCATCAGCCTTATTAACATAATACGCACAAATTAACATAACAAAGCACACGTTCCTGTTTCGCCCATGCTTGTGTACAAAACATACTTTTACTGACAACGAACCGGTGAACATATTTTTAACGTTCTGTCTAATGTACACTGGAGAAATGCGGATTTTCTCCTATTTTCTGACAGACTAGGTTTAATTACAGTAATATTGTTGGTATCGGTCACTGTCATACCGAAAAACCGTGGGAAATACGCCGAAAACGTCGTACACGCTACCGGAATTTACCGTATATCATACAGTTGGCGGCAAGAAGAGCTACACATCCTGTAATTCCAAGTCAGAATATTGTATTTTATCACACATTCACCGTGTATATTCGACGAATGTGAAATCGTTTTTTTTAAAAAATAATTATTGTATTACTAGATACTATTTATTCGTATTTGTTGGTTGTTCATCTTGGACCATGATTTTGTTAAGAACCCTGGCAGTGCTTCGAGGTACATTTTTATTGGTGGTTATCGCCGAAAGGTGCACGATTTCTTCTAGTTTTAAGGGTAAGTAGTTGACACTCTCTATAAAGTATTGTGACTAGCTAGCTACATACGTGTTAGTATGTAAATATACTGTTTTCTTAAATTTTCACCTTGCAGTCTCAACTAAACATGTTGTTACTGGTTTTCCTTTCAAGGCGACATTTCTGATTTCAAACATTTGACTGTATTAAACAAGTATGGGAAAGACAATTTTATATTTATACCAACAGGGCGACAAAGTTGAAACAATGATTGCGTGAGCTGAAAGATGCGACTGTTTATAGTGAACTGTGTACAGGGCATATGGGTTTGTGCTTGTCACGTAACATTAACAGGGACTCTATATTTTGGTTATTTCTAATCCATTTACCATATTTAGTTTTCGGTATATTCCACACCACACGTATATCGAAGACACGCCGCTCAATAATTAACATATGTTATGTATGGGCGGTACTGAAACAACCTATAAGAAAACGATTTCATTCATTAATCCGTGAACACACCCACTTCTGTGTAGCTTTCACGTGCTCTTTTCGCGCTCACCACGTGAACACAAGTCAAGTGGTTTGAATTCATGTTCCAGGGCCACGATATACACACAACACAGCAGGCCCTGCAACACAGTTTACGTAAATCAGTATGTTTGGACGTCAGTAACCCATGAGGTCGACCCATGACATGGCGAATTCTGTGATGTAATGGTAATGATAAGTGCATCTTGTTTGTTCCCTAAATAGAATACAATAAAGATACTGAAACAATATATTACATTAAACCTTATAAAAATGATATCAAGAATATTGTTTTATAATTCAAATAAGGAATATTTTGCACAAGTTGTTTTATCTTCGAATCTTTCGTCGTTTGTGACAACATTTTTTGGTGCGACTGAACAAATTATCTTTTGTGAGAATATACTACTAGTATATTTATACTACGGCATGGGGTGCGTGGGCGTATGCAGTGATCAAATATGCGCTGCAGACAGTCTGTTTTTTTGTTTGAGGTTGGTGTTATACATCCACACACTGATGGTGTTCGTGGCTCGTAGATTTTGCATCTAAAATACCACCCTGTTTTATCATATTGATTCTCTGCTAATTTGAAATGTACATTGGTATAGTCAAGCATATGACTCCAAGATATCAACACGGAATCAAGTGCCACAAAAGACAATTAACTAATTAATTAATTATAATTGATAATTAATTATATTGGCAGTGCAATATTTATACTACCAAAATCTAGATATCACAAAATATTTTATACGGCACGGTGGAGATCGAAAACTGTTGAAAAATGTCTGCAATTTGCAATAGAAAGTTGGATGATGCAATCGAACGCACATGTGTTAAACCATCCAGGCACTACTAATTATTGTTATGAGTAAGACGTGCTGAGATGCAATATTATTAAAATCTAAAAAAAAATTCTATTTTTAAAATCACATGTTCTTTTATCCAGCGGCACATTATTATGTCTGCCTTTCTCAATTTTAAGGCCATCGTTGCTTGTCCTAAATTTTTAAATTAACCTTCTAAGACCATGGTTCTGCACATTAATTAAGTAATTTTCAAATTTGAAATTTTGTTTTAAAGAGTCTGTATGTTCTTGGTTTGTTTTTATTTCATGTAGTTACCCAGAGACGTGAGATACGTATTAATTAATACGGCGCTCCCGGCTTAGTGGTGGTTGTTCTCCTTGTATGTACTATAGGGGAAGTTTTTTTACGTAGTCGATTGGCCTTTCACGTGACAGCTGCACTTTTTTGACGGTGGCAAGACCAGATTATGTATACAAGAGCTCTCTCTCTCTCTCTGGATTCCTCCCTTATCACATCCCTCTCATGGTTTGATTTATAGATGCATTCGAGGCCACTGACTGCAAAACGCCTTACTATTTTAACTAACGGAACACGTTAATCGTGGTAATTACGTCACTACGTTACGTCAGTTCGAAACGGAACTAAAAACTGCAATAAGCCGCGTGGGCCGGAAATCCTGACTCAAAAGGATTCACTTGAGTGCACAGCACGATCTGTGTTGTTTAAACCATTCAACTGATTTAATTGCTTTCTTAGTATTTCTTTTGATTCCGGCGAACCGCTGCTTATTGATATCCCATACTTCCATTGCAACCTCCGATATTGCCGATTCAATAGCCTAGAATATTGGTACGGCGATAACTGTGAGGTACAGTAATACGAATTAAGTAAAAAATACGATCCGAAAAGATTACGTGTACAAATCTAAACCTACATTCTTCTGTTCTTCATTAGTTTAGTAGTACGAGAATCCGTATATAGATTCTCATTTCAGATACAGTCTGTGGACATCAGTTCCGTTCGTTATTGTTGTATGGGACCCCGGGTCATATTTGTATTATTACTGAATATTGTATTCATGTCTGGGAATGAAGAGAGCGGGACACCCGGCCATAATCGTCATTTTGTGCGACTCTTTTGAAAATGTGCCCACTGTACTCGTCATTCGTCTGTGCATTGTACCTCAGACTAGTAATACAAGTCTGAGATTGTACGCATCCCCCAGGCTGTTTCCGATAAATTATATTACCCACCAAGTGGGGTCCGTTTTCTGTGCCGTGGATTCTGGGAAAAGATCTACTTGTTCAATTTGATAGCGGTCTACATTCACCATTCACAAGCTTAAAAAATCGCTACTTTTGTATCGTACAAAATAAACAACAAAAATTAAAGTAAAGATGTATTGCAAAAAGGAGGAAAGAATAGGGTTCACTGACAATGTATCATCATCATCGCACACGATCTCTAACTGTTTCTTTTGACCTTTACATGTATATTATATTTTACTGATATTCACAGAACAAAATATAAAAAAGCGGTGTGATCACATATTTATTTTTTGTATACGAGCAAACATACACATACGATAATCTGAAAAATTGAAGAATTAAAGTCTCTGCTATGTTTTTGTTGATTTAGATAGTAAAATCATAATTTAATTGGCAAAGCCCATACGGGAGGTAATGCCGTACTGATATATGTCTGAACGTAATTTGCATACTAATTAACTGTTTTCATCTAGTTTATTCTGTATCATAACAACGGTTTTCTCCAATGGGTTGAAACTTGGTATATGCTTAAAACTTGTATGGTTGATTCGCTGATAAATATTTTCTGATTAATCTGTTCAGTTTGATTAGCTAGTTTACATACTAATTAACTGTTTATATAATATTTTGTTTGTATCGTAACATTTTGCTCAACTAAGTATTTGCGTACTGTAAATATTTGAAATTACTCTGCGCATATTAATTATGCTAATTTGCTTACTAATTACTAGTAAATGTTTTCAGCTTGTTTATTGTGTATCATAGCAATAGTTCGCTAAAATGGTTTGAAACATTGTACCTGCTTACTGTTTTGTTTCAAATTTATGTATACATATAATACAGCTAATTTGCATACTAATTACCTATCTTTGTTTGTATAATATTAAATAATTACCAGGGCATAAGATTATTCACTACCATAATCTGTATATTATATATATATATAAGATAAGATAAGATAAGATAATTCTTTATTACAACCTTATAGAATGAATTACATATCTATTTTGGTTTATGAAATGCAATAAAGGTGTTAAAATAAACATAACAAGTTAGATATCTTATATCTACTACAATACAGATACATGGAATAATGTAAATTATATATATATATATACTACTATAAACTATGTTTTGCTTGTATATATGATATAATTTCCTATTTTGTTAGTGGACCTTCACGAACGAAGTATTACAGAAGAAAATATTGACGGAGTCTATAGTTGTAAAGCGTCAGAGAAGTATGCGTTTGCAAGTCAATGCGTCGACTATTGTCCCGTTGGAACTCATACTGATGATGAACACGGTGTATGTATTCAGTGCGACGAGAGCTGCAAAACATGCCAAGATGACGCCACGATATGTACGAGTTGTCACGAACCATATTATCTACTTGGAAACAGGTGAGCATTTCCTGGTGACGTCGTGCACCACCTATATTGTCGCCGAATCTCGTATCATCGGCCCCTGGAAGTTAATACAGGGAAATGTGTTACTTGTTACAACTAATTAATTCTATACCACAGACCCAGTGTCATACTAGATAGAGGGACTGTCGCTATATTAAATAAACCATTGTCAGTAAATTGTGATGCTTTCAACTTTGGTATACCCGATAATATACGACAGCATATGTTGATGTGTTCAGTAAATATTGTATTTAACAGTGACGGGGACACAGAGGTATGCTTTAATTGTGAATATCTCTTGGCAGGTATAAATGTGCAAGCAGAATCCGGATAACACGTCTGTACCACATCCGGTAGACCCAAGAATGTTTACCCATTCAAAAAACCTGTATACCGAAGGACACGAATAACAATTGTATTCAACTTCTTAGTGGTATGTGTGTACTACACATGTACAGACTGTGTCCATACATGTTTTGCTGGCTTCCTATGTTCACTTAACTGAAATATTTCCCAATTGAAGCGACACAGACGTTTTGCAGCACATTAGAATTTCGTGTTGACACATAATGAATTTCACACGCGTTGTGTACGTAACGTGGGACCCATATCGATCACGACCCCTTGTGTACGTCACACAAATGTGGGACAAAACTCGAACGAAAAGTCCTCGTGACAATATCTTCCCCGAGTTTCATGCCTCACATAGTATATAAACATCGGAGAAGATGACAGTCACATCTATTATAATATCATTTTTAATATATCGCACCTTTTACGATACATGATTTTATATATAAATACAACAAACATCACAATTGCGTGAAATTAGTCAGATCGTAACGTGTCCCAGTTGAAGGTAGATGTTGTGTTAACGACGCACATTTGTGTTAGGCTAGTTTATAGGGGGCATAGCTCTTCTGTGTTGATAAAAATCCTAGTCTCAATAACAAATTTGATGACACTAACTAAAGAAACACCACAAAGACTATTAGCCGACACAAAAAGAGCAACGGATCCACAGCTAAATCAAACTGTTTCACTCGTTAAAACACGGTATATCTCTTTCTGGAGGATGTAGTGGCCCTAAAAAGTACCGTTTTGTACAGTTTCTGAGCTAAACGAACAGATATCCCGCTGCACTGAAGAATGATCTAGTGTCAGCTGGTGTAATTTGCTCAACGGCAGAGTATATAGAATACGGAAAATCTTCCGTCGAAGCTGATTAAAGACAACGGTGGTCGCTCTAAACACCTTTATTTTGTTAAAACAAAATTCCCCGGACTATTTCACACACACAAATACTTTTCACAACAATGATGAATGTACACGCTCAACGCGTGTTCAGAGAAACTTCCACTTCCTGAACTCAAATGGGTGTCAGACTGGGTTGCCAGACCGGGGTGCCAGGCAGCTCCAGCTTATTACAGGATTTAGTTATCGGTATATTGAAAATTGTCGAACCGTTACCATCCAAATCTTGTTTTTATACGAACGTGTTACATTCCGGGTTTGTTCGGCACAAATGTGATCACAGTTACCACTCCTTTTTGTCGCTGATTGTTTTTAAAATGTAGCCAGTTTGTTGTGACAGTTATACCGGCCAACAAGCAATCGACGGCACCAGGTGCCTGGCAGGACAAACGCACAATCAATCAAACGGACCGACCGTTCCAAACTAATTTCGAGCAATTATGCGGTTCGTTGTATGATGAATCGGATCTTTTACCATAGATCGCTATAATTCAGGCGTCGCGTGTATACGCTTAATGATTTAATGTTAACCAAACTCGTAACAAAGTACAAATGGAAAAGGAGCCTCGAGTAATTCGAGATTCGAGATCTCTGAAATTTTCGTGGGACGGTTTTGTCCTATTTGTCACTTGTCTTTTTGTCCGGGAAGTTTTTGGTTTGGAATGTCGTCCTGTTTCTATTTTTAAATTGTGGTTGCTTAGTCGAAATTTACATAATGTTTGTCTTAGTTCAACGTTTTTCAGTGATATCAAATAGTTTTCTAATTCAAATTTATTTTAAAATTTTCTGTATGTTCTCAATTTATTACTCTCTCGATCATTATTCAATTCTTCTTTCCAGTACTGTTTAAAAAGAATGTGGTTTAGTCTACCACAGTCTTTACTACAGTACAGTATGTTATTATATTGATGACGACAACATAAGGTTGAGATATAAAAAATACAAATTTCATTCTCACCATACATTATTATTCTTTCACAATTAATTAATTCGATTAATTGCTATATTTTTGATGTCCCACTTTCCAGAGTTTCAAGAGTGCAGTGCCTGGGTATTTTAACAAAATCAAATTTAACTTACTTGGTATATTTTAGTGTTTTTAAGAAAGCTTTGAAAATGCCAGGGATTGTCAAACGTATTTATTTTTTTACCATTTTTAATCAGGGGCTCGCCGATAGAAGTACACACAGAGGAATAAATCAATAAGGAGCAGCAATACGCAAGTGTGAAAGCAGAAATAAACATTTCAATTATGTAATTGTAATAGCTATGTTGAACTGTATAGAATCGCTGGCATAGGGAGCACTTTGAATCTGTTGAAAGAGTTCATCTCAGATTCGTCAAATTATCTGTCACAGAGCTGGTACTCAGTATGAACTTGAAAACTATAAATATAATATCTGACGTCTTTATATAAGAGACGTAAATACATTGTTGTTTTTATACAAATTATCTGTCACAGAGCTGGTACTCAGTATGAACTTGAAAACTATAAACATAATATCTGACGTCTTTATATCAGAGACGTAAATACATTGATGTTTTTATACAAATTATCTGTCACAGAGCTGGTACTCAGTATGAACTTGAAAACTATAAACATATCTGACGTCTTTATATCAGACGTAAATACATTGATGTTTTTATACAAATTATCTGTCACAGAGCTGGTACTCAGTATGAACTTGAAAACTATAAACATATATATCTGCCGTCTTTATATCAGAGACGTAAATACATTGATGTTTTTATACAAATTATCTGTCACAGAGCTGGTACTCAGTATGAACTTGAAAACTATAAACATATCTGCCGTCTTTATATCAGAGACGTAAATACATTGATGTCTTTATATCAGAGACGTAGATACATTGATGTCTTTATATCAGAGACGTAGATACATTGATGTCTTTATATCAGACGTAAATACATTGATGTTTTTATACAAGTTGTTCATGATGATGCACATGATATTTTATCTCAAGTTTTTTTTAACGCACCTGTCAGAATTCTTCGTCTTTTTCAGACCTTGTGTCAGTTTAATTATTTTACATGTAAATGGAAGTCTATAAATTAGCCCAGGCTCAGTCGTAGGATATACAAACATTATATGACAATGTCATAATTGTATGTGTAGTAACTAAGTGTTTACGCTGGAGAGAAAAAAATATGCTATGCCATCATGAGTCAGCTGTTTTCTTGATATTGATGTCCTCTTCTTTTCAATGGGAATTGCGCTGGAAACTGTGCTACACGCTCGTAGCTTTGTGCCACAAGCATTGTTGAGTAAAAACGCAATGTCACTGTGAATATAGCGTCTTTAACATGCGTACATGAAAACGTATTCAGACTATACTTTATGAATGATTTACTAGTATTTTAGAATACGTTACAATATGAATAAGGCCTAACAAAAATTATTGGTTCCGGTCAGGTGTGACTGGTATAAAAGAAGGTGTGACATCGACATGCACAAATACCTGGGCAGACGTATTTCACATTAGTACAATTATTGTCAAGGGGGTCTCTGACGCAGGTTTTTGGTTCAATATTCTATATCTACTATCCCATTAAATGTATTCCATAATATATATATATACTTTTATCAACTATCAAAAAGGCGATGATGAGAAAGTTTCTTTTTTCTCTTAATCTAATACTTCACGAAATGAACAACATCGGTGAGTCTTTCCACAGTCCCTCTAATAAAGTTGCCTCTTAGTATATTATATAATGTAATAATAATAATAATAATAATAATAATAATAATAATAATAATAATAAACTTTATTGAAGTCGTATCCTAAAAATGGACATGTATTTGTTCCACTACAATACGATGTATATGAGCAAATAACCTGATTAAAAGATCGTCATGTCAGCAGCTCGCCATAATGCGAGAGTAAATACATGTTACATTAAATCTATTTAGAAAGATGCGTTTGCACACAGTCCCTCGTGCGATATAGGGACAGTTGTATGTCACCTACAGTTGTGTATTAACACCTTCGACAGCGAAGTGTGTTACCCTTGGTCATGTAAGTTACTTATTCAATGTATATTTCACTACAGAATAGTATAGAATATATAATTCTTCACTAATACCGTGAATATAATGTGACATTTCTTTTTTTGGCACAGATGCGTGTTGGACTGTGCACCCAAACTGAACCGCGGTCCTCCTCGTAGCCGGCTTAGACTCCGTGGTGGCAGCACGTCATTTGAAGGACGTTTGGAAATTCTACATGAAAATACATGGGGTACAATCTGTGACGATGAATGGGATATCGTCGACGCCGATGTCGTCTGTCGCGAACTCCAAATGGGTAATAATTGTTTATTTTATATTATTCAAAGCTTTGTCACAAATATGTTGTTTTTTCGTGGTGTATAATTATTAGGAAACCAAATTTCAGCAAATTTGACTATATATTTATTTATTGATTTGCAATTGACAAATATGTCTGACAATAAATATCCATAGAGGCGGGCACATACAAACTGCTGACAAAACAATATTTATTTTCTTAGGCTATGCATTGGACGCACTAACTATGTCATCAGGAGCATTCAGCGAAGGATCTAACCGAATGCCTGTACATCTAGATAATGTCAACTGCGATGGCACAGAAGCAAAATTAGAATTCTGTTCCCATGATCACTGGGGGCAACACAATTGTGGACATTTCGAAGATGCAGGTACAGTATATAATTTGTACTAGGACAGAAAATGAATGTTATCTTACTCCAGCTTGTTCATTTCGTATTTGTAGGATACTAAGGATATGGGTTTTGTATACCGGGGGGGGGGGTGATTATTTTATTTTTGCCAACACCAGTATGATTTTGCAATATTCTGTGTGATAAAATTGTTCGCACACAGTCTTGAAGGCCGGTGACAAATAAAGAATAACCATAGTAACTAAGTAAATATAAACTTGTAGTTACATTTTGGGACGTATTTACTTTAATTAATTTGTCTGTGGTCAATTAATTTAAATGTGAATAGCATGTAGACGTTTTTTTAAAAAATGATAAACATATATTCGAAGATTCGTCAAGTGGATTTGCAGAATGTGAAAACTGGCACACTGAACGTCATGCCGCCATCTGAAATTGTTGCGCAATTAAACACTTTCGAAACAATATGTTGTAATAATCTTATTGTTATAAGTTGTATGTTTCATTGTAATCCCTTGGCATTATGTTTTGAGAGAAGGTGATGGCCATGGGCAATATTTTACTATATTAAGTGTTACAATACACTGTTTTTGTTTTACATTTCTAGGAGTTCGGTGTTCTGGACCCGATTTAACCCGTCTGTGTGTGGATACGTGTGGCGACGGGTTTTATCACAGACCAGAAACTCATATGTGTGGGTTGTGTTCAGAGATATGTCTAACATGCTACCGCCAGTCCGATAACTGTCTTACTTGTGATGAACCACGCTTTCTTCTTTCATCATCGTGTGTATTAGAGTGCGGTCATGGATATTTTGGAAACACAGTCACACGAAAATGCGAGCCATGTCACGATAGCTGTCGCAACTGCAAAGACGGTGTTCTGAATAATCACTGTACAAGCTGTTACGATCACCAGTATCTTCGTGGAAATCAGTGCGTAGATTCATGTGACAACCAACTTTCCAAAAATAAAGCGGTTCGTCTTGTGGCTGGACCCACTGAATTCGAAGGACGTGTTGAGGTATTTATTTCCTACTTTTATAGTTTTAGAGACGCTTACAATGTCACTATGAAAGTTTCGTTTGAAGTGAAGTGTTCTGGGTAAATTAAAACATGGCGGACGTTTTGAAATGTACGATTGCAAAAAGTGATCCCCGAAGCATAGGTGATTCAATCTTGTACGACATTATTCTTTGTATGGTGAATGGGTGAGCGAGTGTGTTGTCATTTGACCTACTGAGTTGTACATTAAATGTAGAGATTGTAACATGCATTGGAACCCCAGGGAGCTGACGATTTGGTTGTAAATTAGACTACATATATTATTTTATTTATTTGTCTTATTCCTGGGCTCCCTGTGGTTCGATCGAACAGATCGCAGTGGCTGTTGATTTGGACAGGGCCAGTGATTTGGACGATTTGGTTTTAAATTAGACAACATATATTATTTTATTTATTTGTCTTATACAGGTATATATTAATGGTGAATGGGGGACAGTATGTGATGATGGTTGGGATATACATGATGCTAATGTTGTATGTCGTTCTCTGGGTTATGGAAAAGCACTGGCAGCCGTCAGATCACCGGCTTATGGTCCTGGAACAGGTACAGTTTGCATTAGACAAAGTGTTGTAAATTGTATGTATAAGAATGTACATGTATATACAATATGTGTAAATAAATCTGAACAAAAAAATGAACCATTTTA